TTTGCATTAATACTCAAGAGCCAAGCCTAGCTTCCAAACACTGAAAAACGTATATGAAGCATCAGAGTTTTTTCCCAAAGGCAGAGAAAGGAGCAGCCAGATGACTCTGAACTCCACCACCCCACTCAAGCCTTGGTGAAAATACTCTGAGTAGTTAGGTCAGTTGGGGCTCTATAACATCAGTCTACAAATCACACTACCACTCTCGATTCTTTCCCCAGCTTCCACTCTTAGCCTTCCCTCCAGGGCATATATCTTTGCAAGTGTAGTTGAGTTTTTTTTTCTCATGTTTTGGGGTTTAGGACTTTGATTTAAGCGTGGAAATGTTGATTAGAAAGGACCCCTGAGATCGGTAAAAACAATCCCTTGCTATCACAGGTAGACACATCATATAACAGACAAATGAACCTCAATTCAAGGTGGTTTCAAGTGTTTACTACTCACTACAGTAGTTACTACTTACTACTGTACAAAAAGTACAGTAGTGACTACTTATGCAGTAGTTAGTAAATCCCTCCTAATTTCAGTAGGTTAAAGGATGAACAAGTTTGCTTTAAGAATGAAAATTCTGGGCCAAAAATATATCTGATACAAAAAAGTTCATTAAAAAGACAGCATGACTTCCAGTTCAACTGCAATTCTTTCAAATATCTTCAACTAAAATGATGTTTGAAGGGTTATCCACTTTGTCTTTAATCTCTGTAACTCAGCTGGTAACGTTAGAAACCATATGACCATAGCAAAATGTATTATCTCATACAACATCTGTATTATTCAACATACTTCAGAGAAAGGTTTCAGGTTACTATAACAGAAGTAATTGCATTTTGGGAAAAGAATGTATAATGTTATAAAAACATATCCATTCCATTTTTTTCACTATTTTACTGTTGTATTAGAAGCCTGTTAAACTGTATCCTTCATAATAAAGAACAGATTTGGTAGTTCTTATGTTTATTACATTCAGGAGTAAAAATTAATCTAAATAATATAAAAGATAAGAAACTGTATATTTGCAAATTAACTTGAATATATTCTATTCTTTATAAACACTTAAAAATATTATAAAATAATAAAAATTAAATTAAATTACAATAAATCAAAGGCTTTAACAAAGAAGTTAATTTATGCGAATCCTGTTCTCACAATGTGACTTATGTGTTGGTTCTTTAATTCAAAATCTTAGTAGCAATGCTGTTTGATCTCATTTTCTTGCGCAAGCCAGTGCTACTGAACCACCAATGATAATTAAATCAAAAATTGTTTTAGAAATATATAAATCTAAATTCATTATCTTGTTTTAACAGAGATGGTCTACAAACGTAACACAAGATTTATAGGGAAAGATAGTATTTATTACTAGACCAATTATATATTAAAAAATAAAAACTAGGAACATATGTTTCCTTAAGATATGAAGTAGAAGTAGAAGTAGAAGATCTCAAGGCAATGACAGAACTGCTCCTCAGATTTAGAGTAAAACACTAATATCTCTCTAGAAGAAGAAAAAGTAGTTTATACTTATGGAACAGAGACAATATTGAATAAGAGACAAGGGGTAAAGAGGTGGTGATGTTTTGGAGGAAAGAGAGAGGTAAAGGGTTATTTACAAACCATGGAAGATGAAGAAGTTAAAGAGAGGATAAAGTTTATAATGTCATATTTTCAGTCCACACCTTCTGGTATCCCGTGAAGTTCTGATTACCAGTTGCCAGGCAGATTTTTCTGAAATTTGTTTTGCAAATATCCCTTGAGCAGGAAGACTGAGAGCTCAAAATTAAATGATTTTTTTACAATAAATATTCCCTGTGCTTATCAGAGTGAATACTTCTTTTGCCTGAGGAAGGCACATCTGGTGCCTGCAGCTCTTGCCCTCCTGGAGGCACAAGCACCACTTTCAGTACTTAGGTGTTGGTTACAGCTCAGTCCACACAATCACCTGCCATTTTCTTACTACCTTTAATAAGTTTACAGTCCTATTTGCTAATTACTGTACTATGGTGGAGTAGCCTACAATTCCCTAGTGTCTGGTCACTGGTTTTCTGTGCAGTCGTAGCCCATATTATTATTAACTGAGACAGATTTGACCAGGTAGGAGTCAAATTCCCTAAACATATGCTTAGTGCATTTGAGCTGTTGTAGGGTATCCAAGTCACCCATGCAGGTATGAAACAGAACTTCTGGGAGACAAGCACTTCCCAAAACTCCACAGAACCTACAGTCTCTAGGCACCTGTGTTCAGGTGGTTAAATCCTGCCCCAACAGGCTGCATTGTTTCTAAAGGTTTCCTAAGGGAAAACCTTATTTGAACCATTTGTCATTGTCTCATGGCTTTCACTCAAGCTGAGTAGTGATTCAGCTTTGTTGACTCTATGGTAGGACTGAGCCTGCAAAGTCATGGCTCAACTCAGCTGCCTGAACAGATATCTAATGCCATCAAGGTGCCTGTAGATTTTCAGTTGGCCTCCAACTACCAGTCTAGATTCATAGAATACTTTGGGTTGGAAGCAGCCTTTTAAGGTCACCTTGTCCAATTCCCCCTGCAAAGAGCAGGGACGTCAACTAGATCAACGGTTTGCTCAGAGCCCTGTCCAGCCTCACCTTGAATGTTTCTAGGGATGGGGCAATGTTTCTGGGTTATTGTGTTAAGATCACCATGATGCAGCAGTATTGGTGATTCCTGGGAAGCTCTGTGTGGCATCACTTTGATAAGGATAGGTGGTGGCCTTTCCGGGTTAAAACATACGTCACATCACTGCAGTCTGGGTAAAACTATTTCTAGGATGAGAAAACAAGTCACGAGGTAAACAAGCCTCCAACAACTATAACCAATGTCAAAGACAAGCATTAGGAAACCATAACCAGCAGCTACTTATACAGCTTCTTCTTTCCCAGGCCTCAAGGCCAGCTCTGGGCATATTTGTGAGACATTGCTTGCGAAAAAAATGTGTTGTGTAGGTGGTCAAGTTGCAAAACCCTAAAAATGCTTTGAATGACACCAGCTTCCTCATCTGTCACTCAAATGTCTTCTGAATAAGCCTAATGTAGCGTGAGCTGTTGGCTTAAACCAGAAATGTAGCTTAAATTAGTTGTTTAAGCTTCTCTACATTCAATAAAGACAGAAAGAGCACTTATAGAGGCCAGTTCATCCTATTCTAAGATAGCTGTCGAAGCACTCACTCTCCAGATGTAGGTATTTGTCAGTTTTCTACAGAAGAATGCCTTAGTAATAAATGTATAAAGTTAGGTGCAACTAATCTTAAGCTGGCTGTTCTCGTTGTCTCTATCCTTCCACTTCTACACAGCAGGCAGCCGTGGGGACTGGATGGCAAACCACAGTGGGAAACAAAGATACTCACTTCTCCCAGCTCATATCAAGTCTTCCCATAGTGCTACCTTGATTTTTTACAAAATAAAATTCATATCAGCCAAAACATGTTTTCCTAAAAGGTGTTCCAGTGCGATTTGAAAATATGCTTGGTGCAAAAGCCACTGAACAGGTGTTTGTCTTTTGCGACCTGTGCCATGTACATAGTCAGATGATAGCGCCATCATCACTTCTTCTACCTAAGAAGCCTTTGAGACAAACAAATATATCCACATGAAAACAAGACATATCTCAAAAAAGACACTCTGCGCTTCTGGATGAACACACATGTCATTTCCAGTGTCAGTTCAGCCAGTCTCCCCATCTCAGAAAATTTGTTGTCACCGTTTGTACCTCAGTTACAGAACTGAGTGGGATCCAGGGTCTCTTACCTTGCAATACAATGATAATAAAAACAAATTAAGTGAAGGGATTTTTGTCGCTTGTTTTTGTGGGTTTTTTTGGTGGTTTGGTTTTTTTTATGGTAGCTGAGAAATGCCATTAACAAACAAGTTTAACTACCAAGGTTACATTGTGAAATTTGGGCTAAAAAAATCATCATTAACACCTCCAGCTGGAGAAAAGCTGGCTGCAAGTGACGGCAAAAAAGCCAAAAACACGGAAGCAAAGATTTCCTGAAAAAGCCACAGTCCAACATGGGGGTGTTGCTTACAACTGTCTTGTAAATGTTGAGTACATGCTGTCAGAGCTCCTTTGAGGTGCTGAGAACCCTTAGGTCCCATTGCTACCAGTGGAAGGGGAAGGTGTTTTGTCAGCACAGGGTGGAATCCCACTTCTGTGTGACTCTTGAAACTTCCTTAACTTAGAATTACTTAAGACAGGAAATAATCATATCCTCTGTGGCTAATGTGGTTAAACTGAAGAAACCTTTCATGATAAAATGGCAGATAGATGATAGATAGATAGATAGAGAGAGAGAGAGATAAATAGATAAATAGATAGATGATAGATAGATTGATAGATAGATTAGATAAATGCAGACAGAGATATAGGATTATTTACATTCTTTAGACTGGATTTATAGGGTAAAATATTTTTTGTTTAAGTATATTCTGGATTGTATCAGTATAATTTAAAAGAAACACACTTTTTTGAAGAGTTGCAGGGAAGAGGTAGGAAATTATTCAGGGTTTTCATCCATTTTCCAAAACATCCAGTCTCACTTTATGGATAAATTTAGAAAGAAAACTTTCTACTTACAGCACTTTCTCCCAAGGTTTTAATTTTTTTGGGTGGGATTCATATCTGGTGCATGACACCCATTTTCCAGGCTGAGAATGGTTGAGAGTTCCTGTTCATTTGGTGGCCTGATTTCACACAGCTGGATTGGGAAAACTTAAAAGGTGTTGCATTTGTCCACCATTTCATCAGGAGCAAAATTGCTCAAGTTTGCTAAAATTCAGTGTAAAATTGAGTGTCAGTTTTGAAATGGTAGCCAAGCAGCTTAGGAGTATTCATATGCTCCCTGACTTCAGATGCCTGTGAAATCGGATGGGTTTAATTAAGTTTTATTGTGTCAGCCAGCACAGCGTTAAAGGATGTGAGGAGAACATGACAAACTCTGAGTCAGTCTACAGCTGACCCTACAAAGCACCCCATAACCGTGTGGACTGGGATGTAAGAGAGAATGCACACAGAGCACAAAGCAGATTGCTCTCCTGCCAGGACAGAGACAAGATTAAGAATGAAGGATCTTTCATTTCTGCTTTTAATGTGTGCAGCATTTTCTAATGCTCTTCCTGTCCACCCAGAGAAAGACAACAAAGAAGAAGATGCAAAGCTTGTAAAGGTAACCACATTATTCATATCTAAGATCTATTGAGTCCTCTCTTTTTAGATGTAATCTGCATGTTCCAGCTATACAACATTTTGATGTCTTTCTGAGGCAATGGTATTGCACATAACTCTGTTGCCCAAACTTTACTAAAGTAGGATAAATCTGTACAAACTGGAAAAGCCAAGTAAATAAGTCCGGGACAATGCGGTCTGTTTCTGTTTAGCTACGATCCTTAGGAAAACATCTGTTATGCTCAAAATGACAGGCAGATGGTTTTGTCGGCAAAGTACACAAAGAATATCAGTCCTAAGGTATTTGTTTAAGAATCAGATCAAAATGTGAAATGCGTTTGCTTTATTTTTTCACTAGGACTATTTAAATAAATTCTATGCTGTTGAGACAGATCCAAATCAACTTGGATGGAAAATAAATGCTGAATCCACAGCTGAAAAACTTAGGAAAATGCAACAATTTTTTCGTTTGAAAGTGACTGGAAAACCAGATGCTGAGACACTGGAAATGATGAAGAAACCCAGGTGTGGAGTTCCCGATGTGGGTCTCTATGGTGTTACTCTACCAGGATGGAAAAAAACCAAGCTGACATACAGGTAGTATTTCGATGACTACTTTTTGAGTTTAAATTTTGTTACATGTGTTACATGTAAATATAACTTCTATGGCAATCATTTCCAGTTGGGAATACAAAAAAGTTTCTCTTTCCCCAGCTGTTAGCTGTGCATATTCCTAAAAGGAATTTCTGAGAGTCAAGCTGGGTGTTTAATATTTTCTGAGTAAACCATACTATTTTTCCTGTCATATATCACTCCTGACAAATATTCTGTGAGCCAAACAAGAATATCAATTGCACACTGTACAAGCCCCCTTATCTTCAAAATTTGCTAAGACCAATAGTTTAGTATTCACAGAAATCTGAGGAGATGGTTTTCCTCATGCTCAAGAGATGATGTCCTGGCTAAGGGCCATTTTGAGAAAAACTGATACCATGTACACAACTTATTATTATGAAAAAGACATGTTGGACAGTTATCACATTCCTCAAACCCACTCCAAGATGATTTTTGGGAGCTATTGGATTACAAGTTACATGGCTTCTTATACACTTTCTATATATCATCTCAACATGGAACATATATATATATACCATGCTTCTTATATGCCATCTTAACAATTATAGAAAATTTTTTTCTGCAAACACTAAGCATTGTTACTTTAACCCCCATAACTGTAGAATTGTGAACTACACACCAGATATGAGCAAAGAGGATGTGGATAAAGCAATCCAGAAGGCATTTAAAGTGTGGAGCACTGTCACCCCACTGATTTTCACTCGTATTCATGAGGGAATAGCAGATATAATGATTGCTTTTGGGACTAAAGGTAATATACTGACTGCATGCCAATGGTAAGATTAATTTAAAGATTTTCCAATAATCATGAAATAAATTCAATGTTGTTTCAACATCATCTTATTTAGCTCATGGACATTGCCCTCGTTATTTTGATGGCCCCCTTGGTGTCCTTGCTCATGCCTTTCCGCCTGGCAATGGTTTTGGTGGTGATGTGCACTTCGATGAGGATGAAGATTGGACTACAGGCTCAGTTGGTAGGTAAAGAAAAGTTGCAGAAGTGTTATGTAGATGGGTAAATTCATTTATGATTTTATTTAGATGAAGGAATAGACTGAGATGAAACACAGTATTATCCGTAAGAGCAGCTTGAGGACATTACAGGCCATCCTCCAGCTTGGATACTTACAATGATGCTGATGTAAAATCAACCTGATCTACTCTGGTTCTTATATGACACTGCTGAAGATACCAAGGGGACAGCCCTTTTCAGAGACAGATGCTACGGATACAGGCCTCTCTTACCTGGGGGTTGGTAGAGCCCATGTCCACCAGAGTTTTACAACCCATTATAGAAGCTATCTCATTCTTCCCTTCTGGTGCGCACATTGGCACCAAGCCTGGCACTGCCATACACTGCAGAAGAAGCAAACCCTGCCTTGCTGGTGTCCTCAAAGGAGATTCCAGCCACCTAAAAACCATTACCATCAGTTACCAGTGATAACAGAGAGTCTTCACCGATAGTACCAAGATAGTTCCAGCTATAGGCTGTTATAGCTCTACTCTGTATTCAAGCTAGGATAGGCTTATATATGAAAGTGTTCTCCAAGCAATTTCAGTTCCCTGCCAGCAGCCTGAACATGCCACCCACAGGCAGTGTGGAGAGCTGACTACAGATGTGTGCCACCAGGCCAGTAAAGAATGGAACACCGAGAGCTCTATCATCTAGCTGGTACCTGTCTGCTCCCCTCAGCCCTCAGGCTGGCCATACATATGCGGCCTCTGACAGATCCATCAGTACAAAGGCACATCACCTTGTTGTATGTTAGATCCTTTTCCAATCCAGTTTTTGGGATGGAAAACTGCAGAGGACAACTGCAGTAGGAGAACTGAGGTCACACTGCAGGAAAAGCACAGAGCTAACAAACAAGAAGGTGCTGTAAGAGCACTGCACAAGGCAGAGAAATGTGGGTTTACTGTGGTGGAAAGAAAATGAAGGATGAGGGGTGGACATGTCATGCTAATAAAATTCAATGCTTTCCCCATATTGGGACTGAACGGGTCCACCCCAGTTTTGCTGCTGTTCCTCAACAGCACAGCTCCAGTGACCAGACATTGCAAAACTTGGAGAGCTTGGAGGACTCGTGAGAGGGGAGGACTGGAAACACATGTGGAAAAACTGAGGCTTTGTTTGTTTTTTTGAGAAATGGAAATCTTGGCTTCAGCCAGCCTTTCTTGGGCCACAGACTTGTGATCTTCACTAAGTCTGTTGATATTGCTGCCTCTTGGTCTGCAGGGCAGATAATCATTCTTGCCTAATTCAGAAAGGCATGTTACTTGGAGGGATGCATGTTGAAGGAAATCCTATTTTTATGTATTTACTGTGTTAACATATTTAACTGGAAATAATCGTGCATACACCTCGAGTATTGTGTCCAGTTTTGGGCACCTCAATACAAGAGAGATATCGAGGTGCTGGAGCGAGTGCAGAGGAGGGCAACGAAGCTGGTGAGGGGGCTGGAAAACAAATCATATGAGGAGCGGCTGAGGGAGTTGGGACTGTTTAGTATGAGGAAGAGGAGGCTGAGGGGAGACCTCATCACTCTCTACAACTACGTGAAAGGACACTGTAGAGAGGTTGGTGCTGGTCTCTTCTCACAGGTAATTAGTGACAGAACGAGAGGGAATGGCTTCAAGCTCCAACAGGGTAGGTTTAGATTGAACATTAGGAAAGAATTTTTCACCGAAAGAGTGGTCGGGCATTGGAACAGGCTGCCCAGGGAGGTGGTGGAGTCACCATCCCTGGCTGTGTTTAAGGGACGTTTAGATGCAGTGCTAAGGGACATGGTGTAGGGGATGACTTTGTAGAGTAGGGTAGATGGTTGGACTCGATGATCCCAAGGGTCTCTTCCAACCTAGACGATTCTATGATTCTATGATTCTATAAGCATAATATCATAAACTGATATTTTATTGACAAGGTTATAAACAACCCATACACTTGAAAGCCCTAATGGTAAGAAGTTAAATTACTCTGTTAACATTATTTTTTTCCTCCTCTATTCATCACCTCATCTTTCTTTCTCAGGTTTATAGGAGGGAAGGTGACACACAGAGTGACACTTTGATACTTAAGTGACACAGAGTGCATCGTCTTATCCTTGCCCTGGAGAGCTGTTAGTTCGATCTGACTCACTATCTAATCTGTTCTAGCTCAGCCAGGAAACCCTGCCAGGACATTCCTCAGAGCTGCACCCACACTCTCCCCAAGACTCATGCCACACACCTACTTTCAGTAGCTAACAGAAAGAACAGCAGGGAAGAGGGCCAAAAGTCACTCCCTTCTAGTGGGGGAAGAGGACAACCTTATCCTATACCTAATCTATTTTTACTATGTGTTTACTATATACTTATATGCTCACTGTAGTGAATTTCAATATCTTGTATGAAAACTGTCCCTGAGCACTGAGCCCTGCTGTGTTCACAGTGTATCAGCCAACTGGCAAATTAGGCTGATCTGTATATCCATTTTTTAAGGCTTCAACTTGTTCCTCGTTGCTGCTCATGAGGTTGGCCATGCCCTGGGACTCTCTCATTCTAATGATCAGACAGCCTTGATGTTCCCCAATTACGCCTACGTCAGCCCCAGTGAATTTCCCCTCTCTCCAGATGATATAAGTGGCATTCAGTCCATTTACGGTGAGTAAAATCCATGGCTTAAAAAAACTAAACAAGAGAGAAACAAGGTCTTTCACAAAGTTTCACCGTTAAAAATCATTGCATTCTCATAATATCAAAAATGCATTTATATGTGAAAACCTCAATGTTCCTACAAATTTTTTGTATCTTTTCTCAAATATCCCCCTTAGGATCTCAACCAAATGCCCCAGATAAAAGACCAGCCACCCCTACCTCACCTAAAATCTGTGGCTCCCAGACATCTTTTGATGCTGTAACTACACTCCGACGAGAAGTCATTTTTCTAAAGGGCAGGTAAATACTGATAGGACATTTGTCTCTGTGAATTATATTTTTTCATTAATTCTACAAAGACTGAATACTTTGGTGGTTTGCATGATTATGGGATTTATAATGAGACAAATGGATAGATTTCAGTTCATGGAAACAAAACTATTAGTAGATATGAGTTATATTAATATTTTTCAGGATCCCCAGAAAAAACATGCTTCACTTTTTTAAAGAAAACATTTTAGTCCCAATAAATCTTTATGCCCAAATGTAACTGCTTGGTCACACCAAGCAGTAACATGATTAAATGCTGCAACCATTTCCTAAGAAGTTAGTATTTTTTACCATATAGTTGGACTAATCTCTCCTCCAATCACCTATGGAAGCCCAAAGTCCTCCAGGTATACAGAGAATAACTTACACTCAGGCTCATCTGGGATTCTATAACTCTCTTATTATGTGGTACAGGAATAACCAGAATTTTTCAGCTATTTGTAGCTGATGCCATTAATTAATCAGTGCCAATGAAAAGGGTAATTCCAAAAAGAAGCCAGAATAAAAAAACCCTCAGTTCCCACCAGGGGAGTGTTTTCCTTTCTGACACATCAACCCAGGTACCTCCATTGACAAGAAAGAGCTTGTAAATTACAATGTTGTTCACATTCTTGTGCGTGTATAGAAATATTATTTACTACAAAAGCTGTTTCATACTTAAATCAGACACTTATGGCGAGTCTATCCTGATAACTCAGAAGTGGAACTTGAATTAATTTCTACCTTCTGGCCAGCGCTACCATCTGGTATTCAAGCTGCGTATGAGAACATGAAAGATCAGATCCTATTTTTCAAAGGTAAAGCATGATATTTTCTTTAAATTTTTCTTACTTTTAATTTTGCGGGAAGATGGAGGAAAGAACAGTAGCTATACATACATAAAATTCACTTTTCAAATGAATAAAAAAAACTTACAGCAATGTCTCAAAGTCACTGGCGAACTGAATTTTTTTTTTTGTCACTAATTTTTTTTTTTTTTTTTCAGGCAATAAATTCTGGGTTATCAGCGGATACCAAGTGTTGTTTGGTTATCCAAAGAATATCAACACACTGGGCTTCCCTAAAGGTGTCAAGAAAATTGATGCTGCTGTTTGTAATAAAAATACAGGGAAGACAGACTTTTTCATAGGTGACAAATACTGGAGGTAAGAAAAATTGACAAATGTTTTTTACAATTGACTCCAATATAATCTGGATGCAGTTGACTCCTGTACAGAGAGGAGAATATAGCTTTGACTTTTGAGAGCAGAAGGGTATTCTGAAGTGGTCATTCAAGATATGCATGCATTTTGATGCATTGTGCCTGGAAGATGAAAAAAATCCAGCATGTAGAGAATTTTTACATACAAAAACAATAGGCAAAAGTATCTGTAGAAAATAAAGGTCTGAAAGCTAACATACTTCAGAAGAAGGCTGGCTGGTATGTCTTGTGCAGAATTACTCTCATTTCCGAAAATCAGTGTAATGATTATTTTACCTCTTTTAGAGAGCTAGAAATGATAGTCCGTTTTCCTTTCTTTGGCTGGTTAACATTGGATTTGCAACATGTTTCTTTTAAATCTTGTGCCCGAGCTGGCATGAGTGATTCCCGAGACCCAAACTCCAGGCAAACAGAAGAAAAAGTCAGCTTCGGGAAGCTGGCGGATTCCTCCTGTGTGCAAGGACAACTGCTGCAAAGGCCTTCTGCTGGCAACCAGGAGCATGCAGGGGTCAGACAGACTTTATTGTGAATAACTGTGGGGTTCCTCAGGGAGACACAGAGTGTCAGTTGGATTTTCAGCTGCGTGTTGTTTCCTGACCTTTGTTTTTGATAGTTTTGGAAAGAGTAATTACAACATTTTGCATTGCTATTTTACTGCTTTGGTCACAAGACAAGGACATGTAAGAAAACCACAGCACAGATTTGTTATCTAGTAACTCATCCTCTCAGTCTCATGCCCCTGTGAAAAATCTTTCTTGTATCCAAGGAGAAGTAAAACAAAAGCTTGCTTGTTTGCTTGCTTTTTTTCCTGGGAGGGTTCCTCAAATCTTCAAGAACCTTTTAGGTCCTGCTTTCAGCCCCCAAATTCAGCTCCATCTTATAAAAATTGACCTGGCTCAGTTAAGAACAGCCTGATGGTATTAGAAATAAGTCAGCTTCCTTTCTTCCAATTAAATCTGTCTGCTGGCAGACAACTATGTACAATATTAAATAAAAGTCTAAAAGGAGTTTAAAATTCATGCAATAAACATGTGCACTTGTTATAGTGGAAATCAACCCAGCCAGTTCCCATGCGCTGCCTGTCACTCTGCTGTCATTAAAGGAGGTAAATCACATCCCTGCTGTCAAAAATGTGGGTCTTCCTTCAATTTGCCTCACTCCAGATGCTTCTTTGGAGCTGTGCCCGCCTTTATCCACAAATAAGGTGACTACTTGCCACCTTATGGAAAACACGATGGCCAGAATCTTGCAGACTTTTGTCCGAGTAGAAAACTTTACTCTCTGTAACCCGGGTGAAATCAGTCGAACTACAGGTGGTGGACACCTTTCAGCAGCTGCTTAATTCTTTGCAGAACTGATGTCTATACTCTGTAAAATTGCATGTCTCCCTTCATATGATATAGGTATGATGAAAATACCCAGTCCATGGAGAAGGGTTATCCTAGACGGACAGCCAATGACTTTCCAGGAATTAACCAGAAAGTTGATGCTGTTTTCCAACAGAAAGGTAAATGAAATGAGCTTTTAAGTAAAATCAGTTTATTTGTAAAGAACATAAGTTCCAGAGTTATGATGAATATCATTATTGCTGTATCCTGCAAAAGATAGAACTGAAGAGATGCTGTCCTTTGTGTACAAAGATGATGTTCCCTGCTTTATCAGAATGAAACTACTTTTTGTAGCCATAACACAGTGCTTTACTTTCTCACTTCCAGGATTCTTCTACTTCTTCCATGGATTGAAGCAGTGGGAATTCGAGCCTACTGCCAAAAAAGTTATCCGTGAAATGAAGAGTAACAGCTGGTTTAACTGTTAATGGCATTAAACTTTCTTACACACAGCAAATATAAAAAAAAAAAATTGTTCTGGGTTTCTCAAAGGTTGTTCATATATACACTGCTTCAAATATTTTGGCAATAAACATTTTTAGATTGATGTCAACTATTTTCTGCTTCATCTGTTGAACGCTTTCTACATTTCTGAGGTGTGAAAGACTTCATGTTAATACGCTAACATCCTTCCAACGTGCGATGTTTGCATTTTGCTTCTTTCCTCTCCAAATATCAAGAGCTAGGCTTTTCATTAATCACTTGTTTTTCTGTTCTGTCTGTCTTCTTCTCCTGCTCTTTGACTTTTGCAGCCTTGTTCCTTTCACATCATGTCATTATTTTGCAACCAAAATCACCCTCCCATCTAAACACATTATCTCACCCTCATCTTTCTTTCCAGTGTCACAATTAGCATTTCATCAGCAGCCATTTGTGAATCTATGTGTGACATCCTTCACAAATCAGCCCTGTCCCATGCAAGAAGTGGATTCATTTACCACATTGTGAAACACAACCTTTGCACCACGACCACAAAACATGTGCTTCAAGTGCATGTATGTTTGAGGTTTATTACATGCTGCCATTGCACACAGAGCAAACTCCTCACAAAATCAGGCAAAATCTATAAAGTCACAGCCATATCCTCTCCAAGTATTTCCTTTACATTTCATTCTGGAAACAGGCTCAGAATGCACTGCCAAATGGCCAGCCATACTGCGTGCACGGCTGGGTATATCTAAGAACGTGGTCTCATTAGTGTTGGCTTGTCCTCCTGCTCCCTAGTTCTCATATATCTGGCTTCTTTACACACCTGTTGCATGTTTGAGTAAAAAGTTTCCTTTTGCTACGTCCTTTTACACTACCAGATACAAGAAGGAAATGATCCCAACCTGAACCTTACCTACCTGGTCGGGTGCAAACAGTGAGAGTACCATTATGGTGCTGTTATTGCTATGAGAATCCCACAAGGCTGGTTCCCACCAGGAACACAAAAATAGATGCTCAGATATGCAGATCTAAAAAACTAACTGTGGTGAACACCATCACACTCTAGATCCCCAAAATTAAAGTGGGTTGAAACTGTAGACATTTTGGTGAGATTCATGTGACTTAACTTTAACTTCCTGTCTGCCTACATATCTACTCTACATGAGTTAGGGAAGATCCCTGTACTGAAAGAAGAGTGAGGAGCTTTCCACAACATTACTCATCATCTCATCTCATGTCACGTCATCCAAAGACTGTGCTGGGGTAAACCAGTGCCTTCAGCCCCTGGAGAAAACACCTTTTTGCAGAAGAAGGTGAGCCAACTAGCTTTCAGACAGCTAAAATTCAGTGATTTTTTTTTTTTTTTTTTTGGTAATGCTATGTGCTGTTCTCTGGAAAATCCTCAACCTCCTGTGAATGAAAATATGCACAGAGGATTTAAGTCATCCAAAGACTGTGCTGGGGTAAACCAGTGCCTTCAGCCCCTGGAGAAAACACCTTTTTGCAGAAGAAGGTGAGCCAACTAGCTTTCAGACAGCTAAAATTCAGTGATTTTTTTTTTTTTTTTTTTGCTGGGTATCTTTCAGTTTTTATGTGATCTAAAATAGACATACATCCTACTTTTATAGTCTCTGATGTTCACCTTTTTGGCAAGATACACCAACAGCTTTTTATATCACCATAAGCCAGTGATAAAGTTGAAGGCACCTGCTTGGATTGCCACTGCCTGTGGAGTGCTCATCATATCCCATGAGACAAGAGCATAACATGCTGGAGGTGTGTAGGTATGCATAAGGAACACGCTTCCTTACCTATTTCTGTACTTCCAGCCTCCTGAAACTCTTCACCAGCATTCAATTCAATTGATGGCTGTGTAGAAAGCACAGTTTAACAGCACAGTCACAGGAGCTGCCAAGTTACACCCAGGTGTTTATACTCAGGCAAGATAACTCTTTCACACACACTCCACTCAGTGTGTAATATAATTGTAATTTTATTTGCAAGAAAAGTTCAATCATTGAGTCATCAAGGAGGTTATTCAGTTCGTTGTAATACGTGGGCAAGTTACTCTGTCTTCAGGTACATAAACCAACATCATAGCTGCTCTGTGCTCCTTCTTTTCTCAGGTGAAACATTATTTCACAATTTATATCAATCTTTTGTCTTAAGGAAAGTTAAACTTTAACAGTGAAATGCTGTTAATGAAGTTTTCTGACTGGTAGCTTTGGCATTCTGTTAAAACAAGAAGGGTTGCGTGTTCACGTCACCTGCAAAAATAAATAGAGCAATGAGTACTGCTTTTCTTTTATTTGTGAATAAAGCCTGAAAATCCACTCCCAACAGAAAAAGACTTGACTTTTACGTAGTGATAACAGCTTGGTCACTCAGTTTTCCCTCTTCACTGGCCATTTCTTTGGAAGAATAGGAACCAGTATAGGAGTGTCACAGCAGAAATCCAGTCAGTGATGAGTGCTTAGTTAGTGGGGACTCTTTCCCTTGGTCTCTGATAGCAGCCTGGCTAGCATGGGATTACGTCTTGCACCTCACCATATCCTCGCACAGCCCTAGAGAGCTACAAATACTACCTCCTCTCTTATGCCAGTTACAGCTCCTCATAATGCATGTCCCCATTCTACATTTAGGTCACCAGCTGAGTAATGCTGTGGGCTGACCAGCCCCTGACTCCACAGCCCAGCCAAGGGATGAATTATCCACCTTCCCATTAATAGGTTTTTTCCTCCTCTAGCCAGCTGCTATTTTCCTCAAAACCCGTAGGAACTACAGCATCTCAGCTTAGCTTGGCTGAAGTTGGCCAGTACCTTCAGTTACTGTGGGACCAGATGGACACACAAACATGCACAGAAAATAGGATCCCACATGGTCAAGCTAACATAATTTTCTCAATGTTTTTACTAAACATCCTTGCTTTCCACTGCACATTTCCATTTGGGTTTGTACTACCATATTCCCCTTACTGTTGACCAAAGGAGTTTGAAAGCACAGACAAGGCAAGGCAGAAAAGACTTGTAAAAACAGGGGAAAGCTAATCTACACTTGTCTTTCCAGATGTTTCATATCACAAAGAAAAAATGGTAATTTGTTTCTCAGCCAATTAATGTTTTTTTAACAGCTGTTTAACAAATGGGTCATAGGATCGTGATGATGAAACTGGATTAGGAAATGAGGACATTATGCATCCTAATGTAATGTGTTGCTGAGACACACAAACTACAGCGCCCCTGGTAGATTGTCCTGTAAAGTCCTTCTTGCTTCTCCGCCTGCAAGACCCTGGTCTCCCAGCACTGGCATGGGAGTGCTTTAGCTCCCAGAGTGGGGCAGGAGCTGTGTATAATCAAATACTTGCTAGAGCAGAGCTTAAAACCCACATCTTTCCCTTACCCTTTCAGGTGAGCAACCTGTTCCCTGTGTTCGTGCGTGACAGACAGATACCTCAAAATCCTTGAGAAAACTGAAACTTTCTATGGGTTTGGTACTGTAAAGGAAGAAAAAAAGAGAACCATGGGAGCTTATGTATGGAGAAAGAACTTGACATTACCTGGATGTACGTAACCACTCATCCCTGCACTCAGTGATAACTTCATGCTTCTTGCTGCTGATTGCCCGAATCCTGATTAACAGAAAAGGAAGCTGCAAGGCTGGTATTTAATAGCTGATAGCAAATACACTCTTTAACAGTTCAAACCTTTTTGAACATCAAACCTTCAGACACGCCAGAGCCATATCCAAAGCAAAGCACTGAAACCCAGTACAGCCATTGCAGGAACCGAGACAGGACACCGGCAAGAAATGCAGAGGAGCTGGACAATGTGCCTGGCTAAGACAGGAGAGTGTGCTTCTCTGAGGGCTACAAACATAGGGAGAGTCCCTTGCAAGGTGAGCACTCATCATGACAGTCATCTCAGTGACATTACAGGGCGTACCCAGTAGACAGAACCTAAAGAGTTGAGATGTGGGTTCTGTCATTCTGGCTGTGAATCAGAGTTTTTCACAGTCTGCCTGCATGCATTAATCAAATCAGCTTGGGGGGGCCAAGGGGAGGATGTCTACTGAGATTTTTCTACATGCATCATGTGCCTCATGTGTTTTTATGATCTGTAAGCACTGCATCTCACTACCATTCGGTAAGCGAATAGATATCAATGTGTGTGTTTGTGTGCTCCTGCCTTACCCACAGATGCATGTGTGTCTGTGCAGCTTCTGTGGGGATCTGCTGGCCTGTGGGGACATAAGGAGTTGGGGGTCCCACCGGTGGCACGGAAATGCCTTTTGTCCATTTTATGAACAAATGCTGCTTGTAGGACTGAGGGCAATACAGCCTCCATGTAACTGAGCAACACAAGGTGTTAAACCGCCAGATAAAAAGCCAGTATGAGCTCCTAAAGGCCAGGTATGGGGTGGGTAACGCAGCCTTGTGACAGTGGTGGACTTGGCAGTGCTAGGTTAACGGTTGGACTTGATGGCCTTAAAGTAGTTTTCCAAACAAACCAATTCTATAACTCTACTGATATATTAAGTGACTGTGGGGCGTCAGTTTGACCTTGGACTGATGAGGGAGATGCTGAGGATACAGGCACCGGCCGACAAAGGCAATGCTTGTTCTTGCAACAGGCTGGAGTTCTGAGCCTTGTGTTGAGGGACCCCAGCGTATGGGGGTCCCTGGCCGGGGTGGAGGGTCACAGCTACCACCCATGGGGCACAGCTGTCACCCAGGGGACACAGCTGCCACCCAGCGGTCACTGCTGCCACCCATGGGACACAACTGTCACCCACAGGACACAACTGCCACCCATGGAGCACAACTGCCACCCACAGGACACAGCTGTCACCCATGGGACACAACTGCCACCCATGGGTCACAACTGCCACCCATGGGACACAGCTGCCACCCATAGGACACAGCTGCCACCCATGGGACACAGCTGTCACCCGTGGGACACAACTGCCACCCGTGGGTCACAGCTGCCACCCATGGGACACAGCTGTCACCCATGGGACACAGCTGCCATCC